TATTGATGATCCTGATGAAAAGAGCTGCTCTTTTTCATAAATGGGCATCTAAAATTGTCGACTATTGTTATTCTAGAGTGTCGTCAGGCCACCATGAACCTTGTCGAAATTCCTCTGCTCCTTCCACATTGCATTCGAAAACGACGTCACCCGGCGATCGTCTATTCAGCCCTCAGTCTTCCTCACCTGCCGAAGTTCACAAGTCAAAAACGGCACCCCCGTTTCCGCCGCCGGTACTTCCGAAGCCGTCTTCCTTGGGAAGCGAGATAAAATGCAATCCTGATATGGCTAAACGTAAGAAGCGGCGCGCTCCTCCACCCCCGGTTCCTCTGAGACGAGAGGTAAATTTAATATTACGATTTTTGCAGTCATCGTTTTCAGCTATTTTGACCAGAAATTTAAAGGATCTTACCATTTGATCTGCAGTGACATCGAAGTTGAGACGATCCTTGGCCTTCTGACTCGGTTATGCATTTCATTAGCACAGTTTCCACTGTATAGCATTTTCTAGTCTCTTTAATAACGGGGACATTGTATGGCAGTTGTCACCTTACTACAGATCAAACCTTGACATGAATTTTTCAGTGAGATGAATTAAGTGCAGATGATATATCACATATATAGTACTCATATGTATATAGTGTATATGTTGTTTCCATAATGTCACAGATTTTGAACCTTCCTTCTCTGAACTAGCTCTTCAACTCTTGCCTGCATGAAAGTTCAGTCGAAGAGAAAAGATTTCTTTTTGTCATGAAGCTTGAGAGTCGTATTTCTTTCTTGTTATTTATTGCCTGGATATGTTCAAATATTATATGGACATCAAAAATTTGGGCTCGTACATCGCAGCATGTTATTATACATGACTCTTCCAAATCGATTTTTACACCGTGTGGCACCTTGCCCTAGCTGCGTGACCGATTATTGGACCATCTGTAAAGCAGGGTATTGATCTAATCAGCCAAGACACGTTACGTACATCATAACCTGCAAATACACATTTGATCATTAAGCCTCGACCTGTTTGAATGATCCGTAGGCGTCTAGAAGTAAAGAACGGTACCTTAGTGAAATTCGGTTGAATTTTTTAGCCCATTGTTAGTTTGTAGACTAATATATCTTTTTGAAATATTAACAGTTATTTTTGACGTATGTCTTTCCTTTTTTCACATATATTATCTTCTACTTATAGTCAATGTCGATTCTTAAAGATTTCAGTCTAACTGCCTCCGTCGAATCAGAAAAACGGCGAGTTCTTCATTTGCAGCATATCGTTTTGTGTGAAATTAATCATAAAAGATCTTAGTCGCTTTGAACGCTGATGCATAGTTCGCTGATCAGCATAAGCTTTAGA